TTAACGAAGGCGGCGATAACGATACATTATTATCGCGATACGTATGAATATATGCTACCCCATGCCCGGGCTGCCCTTTGAAAATCGTATACCAGGCACGTGTCCGGCCTGTCGCGCCCCCGTTGTTACTCCACCGCGTGGATCAGATAATTTTCAGTACAAGCAGATATGGCTCGCTATTCGCACGGCGAACCGATCTCGCACGAAGAGATCACGCGATATCGCTGATATATTAATCAAACAAATTGGACATTTCATCGGCCGTGTCATCGGCCGACAATGATTTTTCTAGGCACAGATACATTCTGTCTCTGTCTCTCTGAGAGATTCTTCTTTACTCTGATACCAGAATATACTATAAATCAGTTTTTCTTCATCCTCTCTCTTTTTCTTGTCTTCTCTGTTCCGCATTATCTTGGTATCGTTACATTGTACGATAAATTACAAAGAATTTGACATATCATGAGCATATTATAGTTATATAATAAGTTTTTCAGAGTGTTATCAATTATTCATTTTATTTTCTAGTTTATAAGCTTTCATAAGAAAAATTTTTTAAGCAACAAATACATCTTATATTTGATTCTATTTTTTCTGTTATATTAAAGGATATCCTTAATAATATCATATCTTTAATCAAATTCAAGAAAATCATTTATAAGAATATGATATCTATGACTAATGCAGTTTAAGAGGAACTCATATTACATCGAAAGAAAATTAAATTCATACACAAGTTCAGCCTCTCTTTCAGTAGCAACTTCTAATTTACGATCTAAATCTCGATCACAAGAGTCGATTTATTTCCATCGCCGTCAATCTTTCTCCCGTTTCCATCCCCTTCCTCGAAATAACTTGGCGCTGTTACCTCGAAAGCACATCCGTGTCGCTCACGGAAAATCGCTGACGGCACCTGATCGCGGTACGTGTAAGAACGTGTACTTTATTATTACCTTTCAGCGCCTTCCGCGCGGAGGAGGCGCTTACGCGCAGCTACCAGCCCGGCGCGATCAACTCTGACAACGCGCCGCGCCGCGCGATCGGTGTCAATCCATTTCTCACTCGTCTCCGCGACCGCTATCACGCTTATACGCCCGGTATCCACGGCATCAATAATAATAAAAGCATCGTGGGATATCGCGCGCGTCTCGTATGACGCTCCGCGGGAAGCCTTCCGCCGCGTTTCCCACCTACGTTCCTCTAACGCAAAGCGGGGTGAGACCGAAGGAGATAGTAGCGGAACGAGGGTGGAGAAAGAGACGGAGAGAGACGAAGGGACAATAGGAAACCGAGAGAGAAAGAGGGAGAGAATGTATACGTACACATGCGTGTGTGTGCGTGTGTGTGTGTGTGTGTGCGCGCGCGCGCGCGCGCGCGCGT